GCTGAGTCTGCACCTGCTGTGGAAGTGGAGCTGTAGTCTTCTTTATTGCTGAATGATGTTCTGCCTCTGTAGTAGATACTGAAGTTACAGTAAGCTGCAGGTCTAAAGGCCAAACTGCAACACCGGGCGACGTTCGTGGCTGAGCTTGATCCTGACCTGGTTTTGAAACTGTCACCTCTTGATACACTGGAGGTTGAGCTACAACCTCCTTAGGTAGTTCTGGAGGCTGAGTTCGGGTTCTTTGCATGGTGGGAGAAGGTTTCAGCTCTGTGGTAGGTTCTGTAGTTATGGTAAGTTTCAGGTCCAATGGCTGAACTGTGACTTGCGTCAACTTTGGATGCTGAGTCTGGTCCTGGTGTGGATGTGGAGCTGTAGTCTTCTTCGGGGCTGTAGAATGTTCTGCCTCTGTAGTAGATACTAAAGTTACAGTAAGCTCCAGGTCTAAAGGCCGAACTGTAACACCGGGCGACATTCGTGGCTGAGCTTGATACTGACCTGGTCTTGAAACTGTCACCTCTTGATACACTGGAGGTTGAGCTACAACCTCCTTAGATGATTCTGGAGGCTGAGTTGGGGTTCTCTGCATGGTGGGAGAAGGTTTCAGCTCTGTAGTAGGTTCTGTAGCTATGGTAAGTTCCAGGTCCAATGGCTGAACTGTGACTTGCGTCAACTTTGGATGCTGAGTCTGGTCCTGGTGTGGATGTGGAGCTATAGTCTTCTTCAGTGCTGTAGAATGTTCCGCCACCATAGTGGGTTCTGGAGTTACGATAAGTGCAAGATTGAAAGGTTGAGCTGTGACTGGAGTCAGGTTCAGATGGTGAGTCTGCACCTGCTGTGGATGTGGAGCTGTAGTCTTCTTCAGGGCTGTAGAATGTTCTGCCTCTGTAGTAGATACTGAAGTTACAGTAAGCTGCAGGTCTAAAGGCCAAACTGCAACACTGGGCGACACTGGTGGTTGAGCTTGACCCTGACCTGGTTTTGAAACTGTCACCTCTTGATACACTGGAGATTGAGCTGCAACCTCCTTAGGTGGTTCTGGAGGCTGAGTTGGGGTCCTCTGCCTGGTGGGAGAAGGTTTCAGCTCTGCAGTAGGTTCTGTAGCTATGGTAAGTTCCAGGTCCAAAGGCTGAACTGTGACTTGTGTCAACTTTGGATGCTGAGTCTGGTCCTGGTGTGGATGTGGAGCTGTAGTCTTCTTAAGAGCTGTAGAATGTTCAGCCTTCATAGGGGGTTCTGGAGTTATGGTAAGTGCCAGACTGAAAGGTTCTATGTCCTCAGGGTAGCGTGGAGGCTGAGCTAGGGCCTCCTGCTGGGTTAAAGAAGTTTCAACCTGCTCAAGGGCCTCCTTTTGAGTTGAAGAAGGTTCTTCCTCCTCAGGGGGCTGTGGAGGCTGAGCTGGGTCTTGCTGGGGTGGAGAGAATTGGATCTCTTCAGGAGGCTCCAGGTTTTGAGATAGGGCCTCTTGCTGTAATTGATTAGTTTCAGCTGGCTCAGGGGCCTCTAGACGCTCATCTGGGTCCTTCTGGATTTCTAGAGGAAATTCAGGATGAACCATATCCATACTCAAAAATCCATTAAAGTTCTCCAAGATTTGTCTCTGATGCTTAGGTTTTGATCTAAATGGGTGTGGAATTCCAAGAATCTTTGGAAGCCGTGGATGCAGAGTTAGATCTTTCTTCAGGGGTGAAACAACAAACTTTGTTTCTTTTGAACTCTCACTATCTACGGTTTGAATCTTACTTTTCAGTCCAAGAGGAAGAACCAGGGCCTGATTCTGTTGCAATTCTTGCACTGGAACCTCGTCTGGGAGCCTTTGTGGCCGAGCTAGCTTTTCACGCAGATCTTGATGCAGAACAGCAAACTGATCCGGCTCTGGGGGCAGCTCTTGAGCTGAATGCCTGCCCAGCAATGGAATCAGCTTCTTGGCTACTTCCCGAGACCGGACCAACACCTGGAAGGCAGCAGAGGATCCCAGGTAATCAAAGCTCCCTGGGGCTGCCGGGGGTGTAAATGCATGGGGTGATCTGGATTGCAGTTCAGAGGAACGTGAAGACCAAGGCTCAGTCAGCTCCGGGTGGTTGGAGGTCAGTGGGACTGGGCGCCAGGCCCACTCCGGAAGGGGAGCCACCTGAACGAGCATCCATAAGGGTGCAAACGTCAGAAGCCAGAGCGCCCAAAAGCGCAACTGGCACATCATAGAAATAAATAGGAGCTCTGGGCCACAATGACCCAGACCAATTGGGTAACTGTTGCTCGCTGAGCGGCAACAGAACCCTTATGGCAGCCCCTGCCATGAGCACGCCCTGAGCAGCTGTGGCCCCACCCCTGGCCCACCCTTATTTATGACATCACTATCACTGACAAACTTTACTAGGCTCTGGCCCACAAGGGTGAGCCTTGTCCCATAATCAAGGGGCTCAAGCCTCCCTGCCCCCTGCAGAGGTGACAGTCACCTCCCGGTGGAACAGCCCCT